ACGTAATACACAAAACCTTCATCCATCGCCATCTGCAGTTTCTTCAGTCCAACAACCTCTGTTGCTCTTTCTTATATACTTGTTCACCATCTAGAAACAATTACATCCTCAATTAGTTAGATAAATTGATAACAGAAATCAAAATAATTGTGCTTGCTACATGGAAACTATTCCATCTTGCCCTAAAATGCAATTTTCCATCTTGCCCGAATTCCCATTGCCAATAATAATATCAACGCTTTAAAAATCCTTGAATTTTTTCCCTCTTTAAATATCAATTCATGCAATCTATCCCTAATAGGTACTTTGTATAAAAACAAAATAGTAATACTTACCTTGTAGGTATAAATAATAACACTGCAAAAGTCCAATGACTGCATAATAATCTGCTGCGAAATAAGAAATACTTGCACACGTCACTTCGTGGCACCAACCGATCTGAGTCGCCGTTCATAAATACAAGATATCCGGGTGTCTCTGTGTGCATGGAGGTTTGGGTGCTTCGTCGCGCGGTTCGGGGTGGGTAAGTAGTTTCCATCTTGCCCACCCCTTCCATCTTGCCCTCCCTTCCCCTACAATAGAATATTCACAATCTAGGTAGTACATATAAAGAAAAACGTTTTAATATTCTTTTTATTATATTATAATAAAAGTTAAAAAAAAGTATTACAAAATACAAAATAAAATTTTTAATTTTAATAACTGGGATGAACTTGCTTTGTTTTGCACAAAACTTTAAACTCAGGTTTTATTGTCGTTATTTGTAAACGTATTTGATGTTCAAATTGTGATTATTATTGAAATTTTGAATTGGATTTTTAATCCAGTCATGTGACTCTTCTTGCTGAGGAAAGTAATCACTAATAGCTGTTTTAAGTTGTAAAATATGCTCCTGAATTATATCTTTAACATCTTTATTCAAATTTATTTCATTTTCGATTAGAAAATCACTTAGCTTTTCAAAACATTGCATATTATTATTTTTCACATTAGATTCTCACAAATTTAATTTTAAAATTAAAGCATTGATTTTATCGTTCAGTTTAATATTAACTTTAAGGCTTTGAAAAGATTTATTAAATTCATTTAGTTGTTCATTGTCTTTTTTAAAATTCTCTTTTATTAATTNGAGTTTTACCTTATAATAGATAAATCAATAATTATTCTCCACCTGCAAATTTTAATTTACGAAAAGAAGTATTCGAACACAGCATTTAGTCTGCTTCTTTTCTTCTGGCAAATTAAATCAGAAATGCTGAAATCAGATTGGAGATTTTTCCCCAAAATGGGAACTTTCCGAGTCAACTAAAATAATAAGGAAAAGAGAAATTAGTTTGCCTAAATGGAGAAAATTCCAGTTAAGGTTGTTAAAATATCTACACTTCTAAATAGTATTAAATAATTTCATAATTAAAAATATAAAAAAGTAAGAAGTATGATTAAATTGAATTTTGTTTTTAATGTCACGTATTTCTTAATTCTGCTGATTTATTATGTACAGTACAGTACATTTGTTTGCTTTTTTATAAAAATAATTTTTGAAACCAAAAGAGTAATATTAAAACGTTTAGATATGGTTAGTATTTCAAAAACATTAACAATTGTTTTGCTAAATTCTTTGTTTTCAGTAATAGCCATTATTGCAATGTTTTAAAATTAAGAGCATTGAAACTAGTATTATTAAAATGTTCAGATATGTTTAGTATTTCAAAAACATTAATAATTCTTTGTTTTAAGAATTTAATAAGACAATTTGTTAAATTGTTTTCTTATGCAACTGGGCATTTAAAAATATGCTGTTTCGTGACCGACGAACTATTTGATATAAACTTATCGAATATTTTGTCGATCATGCAACCGCCATATTTTCAAACGAACACATCAGTATCAGACCTCAATCCGACAGTGGCGCCAATCAAATGACGTTAAAAGACACTGTAAGACTTTGCTGTATGTAATTTGATATCTTCGTAAATATAATAAATTGAAGGCGCTAAGCTATATATAGTGTGGGCGACCTCTGAGGTAGGACGATTTTTTAGTAAGATTATTGTATACAGAGTAAACATAAAGTATGATTTTTATTTTATATAATTAATACAACATTTTATTATTTTATTTAATAAACAATAATAGATATTTGTAAATTATGAACTTTCCACGTTGATATCGTCCGCATTAAAAATATTGTCAAAATTCATCTGACATTCAACTTCTTACATAGACTAAGTTACTCAAACTATTCCCAGTTGACGATAATCCGTCCTTTACAATGATGTCACTTACACATACCATGGTCTGTCTATCTAGGCAGCCATGATCATACATTATATACATTGTCCGTATATTCTTCTGGTCATGCAACTCCCTATCCCTTTCGGGTTAAAGTTTTATTAGTGCCTCTTGCTCCCGATGGCGATGGGATCGCTGTTTGATTGATTTTATGCTAGCCTAGATGTATGCTACATCTACAACAATTACAACAGTGTACAAGAACATTAGCCCACTACTTCCAATCATATACTAAGTATTACCGCTACTAGATGGTGCCACTCTCTGAGCGACTATAGCCTAAAAACTCAAGCCCTACTACTTTTGCTCACCAAGATTTCGATTGGTTATTTACAAATTCATTTAAATATATAAATATTTAAATAAATTTATTGACTTTCTAATATTTTTTCAAATGCATTAATGATTCGTAACTAGTTTTCTCGAAGATAGCAAATAATTTCTCAGGAAAAATTAGACTATTAACAGTTGACTTTTTTAAACTCTTCCTGCCCTGTGGGCACTAAGAGGGCTTCTTTTTAGCAAGCCCAGGGTGCGACCAAGCCCACAATGGAGCGGTCGGGTGGTGACAGGAAGGACGGGGTTTAACAAATCAGGACAGACCACCTCCCAAAAAATTCCTCGAGATTTTTCGACCCGTCCGGATTCGATTCTGGGCCCCCCAGAGCGGTAGGCTGTCACCTTGACTGCCCGGCAATCCGGCCGTTTCGTGATGCTCTTTATTACCAATCATCTCATCAGGATCTGCAAACGTGTGTTTTTGTTAGTAAATGAATTCAAGTATTCTCTCAGATCTCTGACAAGAGATCTAGTTGTGATACGCATAAAGGTAGATGTTAATAGTGCTAAGAAGATTTTAGTCTCTTCTGCCTATCTTCTTTATGATTCAACTAAATCTCCTTTCAGTGAGGTCAGATTTGTAGTGGAGTTTCCTACCACTCCTGACATTTTTAAAAATACGTTTTGTTGCAAATGCACACACCAGTGTTTGAGGAAAAGAGATAACAGTCCAAGAGGAGAGCATCTTGTAGGTTTTTCGGTTTGTATAGACCTGGTAATTTTAAATCAAGGCAATAAACCTCCTTCTGTCGCTTCAAGTCAAAAATTCTGAACCTCGCTCTATCTTCTTCTGATTCAGGTGGCAGAGGGGCAATTGGTATGTCTGATGAAACTTTCCTATCGGTCACAGACTCATTACATTTGCCTTTAGACTGTCTTCTAGCTTAAAAGTATAGTAAGTATAAGTAAAAGTATAAGTATAAGTATACTGTATTTTGCAATCCAAAGAGGACTTATTGGTTTTATAGAGTAGTTATTTTCCACACAGGCACTCTTTAAAAAATGCCATTTCTGTCGATTTGTTTGCAAGAGTACAGTACATTCTCGACTTCTATACTACTAGTTGTTCCACTCAAGAGGTCACAATTACTGATATTTTATAATTTATTTGTATCACTATATCACTACTAAACTTACTATAGTTTTGCTTAAAAGCAAAACTATAATTGTTTTTCAGAAAAATCTTGACAATAATACCAAAACAGAAGTGTATTTTATCTTTTTTGATAAATTTATTTACACTTTCTGGTTATCAAGAAGCATTCTCAAAAATATTTTTAAAAAATACATAATGCTGTCTTTACTAAATTATCATATTAATGTATCAAAAATCAAATCAATTTCTTTACTAGAAAACTGTTTGAAAAATATTAAAATTATTTATATTATTTAGGAAATACTGTAAATTTTCTAAATATGATTTTCAGTATTAACAGAATCTTTGCATTAACATTGTAATTCGTTTCGAAAAGATTTACATTTAGAATCACTGATTTTCCTAGTATTTATTCTAATAATAACAGAATGGGATTCATTCTTAATTCATACAATTGCCTCTTCTCAAACTGGTTTTAACAATAACCAAAATTGCCCGAACTCTATCAATAGATATTATAAAAATTACGGTATAGAAGTCACATCAATATCGATATTTTTATTCCTTACAAATAATAATATTTCAATAATTGCAGATAGGCCTACTACAACAATTGCAACAACTACGACTACAGAAAAACTTAGTACTATAACAACAACTAAGGAACCTTCTACGATAACTACGACTATTGAAACTCCTACAACTACATCCACGACGACTACCGAAACGCTTACAACAACTACGACGACTACTTCTACTAAAGCGCCAACAACAACAACAACAACAACAACTAAAGCACCACCACCAACAACAACAACAACTAAAGCACCACCAACAACAACAACAACAACTAAAGCACCACCAACAACTACCACTACCACTGAATCTCCTACAACTACCTCCACAACCACAGAAATAACTACAACAACTACCAAAATGCCTACAACAACTACGACAACCAAAAGCCCTACAACAACGACGACCACAGAACAGCCTACAACAACGACGACCACAGAACAGCCTACAAGCACAACGACCACAGAACAACCTACAACCACGACAACCACAAAACAGCCTACAACCACAACGACCACAGAACAACCCACAACCACAGAACAGCCTACAACGACGACGACCACAAAACAGCCTACAACGACGACGACCACAGAACAGCCTACAACAACGACGACCACAAAACAGCCTACAACAACGACGACCACAAAACAGCCTACAACAACGACGACCACAAAACAGCCTACAACAACGACGACCACAAAACAGCCTACAACAACGACGACCACCAAACAGCCTACAACAACGACGACCACCAAACAGCCTACAACAACAGCCTACAACGACGACGACCACAGAACAGCCTACAACTACGACCACTAAAGCACCTACAACAAGTACGACTACCGAAAGACCAACAACGACTACTAAACAGCCTACAACAACTACGACTACCAAAAAGCCAACAACAACAACTACGACTACTGAAGTGCCTACAACTACAACGGCTATCTCTACTACAATGGGGGAATTCCCGTGTGCTCCTGCTTCATTAAACTGTGGATCATTGAAAGACAATGTACCAATGGCTATCATAACTAAGTAATCATGATAATTTTTTACTTTAACATTACTTGGAATGTTTCTATAACTCCATTAAAAGTTAATTACTATATTTAATTTTTAGAGGAGGACCTTTTCTTGATCCTAAATCAACAGGTTTATCCTGTGCAAATCCTAACGTCAAAACTACTGGGGACAATTCAGTAAAAGACTTACTTATTGGTGGAGATTTAGACGTTTGCGAAAAAAAAGAGCAGATCGTAGTAGGTAAGTTGTTGTTATTAAAATTATGGATTAAATAAAAATTAATAATCATAAATCTCCAAATCGTAAAAATAATTTTGATTTAATCAATTTTATTGTAGGATGGAAACTACATTTATTTTTACTTTTTATTTTTGTTTTATTTAAATAAAGTGAAAATAAAATTATAACTTTTGAATCAATATGATGATAAAAATTAAAATATATGCTCTCCACCTCAAATTATTAGTATTGGCTTACCCCTGTACATCATACTTCTCCTTCAACAACAGAGCAGTCATCTATTAACTACTCAGGGGATGTTTTAAATTGAAATAACGGGACTTTCGGTATGAACCGAAAGTTCGTATATCGAGACCTCCTGTATCTGGTCTCAATTTTCACCTATCTAGCTCAATTCTTGAGATTAAGAAAAGACAAATGGACAACATTGGAATTTATAGGTTACAATTTTTTCAAATTGCAGCCCAATAAGGGCTAAGTTATTGAAGGAAATTTAAACACTGCATTGGCTACTATTTTCAGTTTTGTTCCTCTATTTTAAATGCTTAAAATTCGTAAATACAAAAAAAGTTTTTCTCTCCAATCTCTATGCTACAATTCGTGCAATGAAATTTATTGTTTGTTGAAATTTAAAGATCAAACGAAGTACAGTACATGATGATTGTAACGTCTGTGAATGTTAAATTTTAATAACTTGAATATAGACATGATGATAGACAAATCCAAATGGCATTTAAAGCTTAATTTCTAATTGTCTTGAGATCATGCATAATACGCTATTTTTACTTCCCCGGCTGTTATACAGAGGGGAAGTATGGCGATCCTGCAAAATTGGCCCCCCCAGATTTTTCCATTTTTGGAATAACGGGACTTAGGACACCTTGAAACGTCGAGAAATGCAATACAGTTCGGAAATACTTTCTGTATCTATGGATGTTTGTAAATCCATAGATACAGAATAGAAACAGTGTGGGGGCAGGATTTTGTTCACCCTCTTTGAAGCTTAATAACTCCTGTGTTTTTTGTCGAAAATTTAACCTCTAACCACCAAACTTTAATAGCATTAATCCCCTAATAAACAAACCTTCCTGCAAAATTTCAGAAATTTTCAAGAATTTTCAGAAATGGTTAGAGTAATCTCTAATCACCAAACTTTAAACATTAATTTAAACATCCTGAACACAGTTTCTTGCCTTTGCCTTCCTGCTACGTATATCTAACAGTTATTAAAGTTTCAAATTGTACAAAGACTATAAACATCTTATAATTATGCACTAAATCATTATACAACTGTTCGTTCTTGTTTTTCGTCGATTATAATAATTTATATTTATCAATTATAACTGCAATAAAATTAAAAGCTAAACAAACTTTTATGTTTCTAAATATAAATAAATCTATTTATTCGATTCTTGAATAAATATAAATTAATTATACTAATTTCTTAATTAATAAACAATTTCTTTTATAGCTATTGATGTATGTGTTTCGGCAAATCCACACACAAAAGAAGCTTCCTTGAAATCTGCGCGAATTACATGTAGCAAACCAACTGGGTCAGTAGATGTAGATGATTCAAGAACGGAGCTGAGAGAATTGTCAGGATCACTGGATGATAAATTCGAAGTATCTTGTCAAAACAATTACGCAATCCTCGGTGTTCAAGTTAAAAATAAAAATGGTGGAATTATTATGAATTTCAAATGCGTTGGTATCACCAGAAAAGGAAATCAAGGCAAGGATGATGAGAAAAAGGCAAACGGACCAAAGGGATAGAATTTCATGCGATTATTTTTCTGTATATAAATTATTTCTCATGTAATAACGATTACATATATATTTTTAAAGAATGTTTAAATATTAATCCTTAATTTTATGAACTTTTTCTTAATATAAATATTTATAGTTTCTAGATTTTAAAGAAAGAAATTGTTGCATAATTTTGAAAATATTTCAATATTTTATTATGTTTAAAATAATGTTACAACATACATCTAACATTTAATTTCATGTACTTTCTTAATTATATAAAGTACATCGAATAACGTTTAAAAGCACGTAAGCAACTTACAAAGCAATCGAAAGTACAGTAAAACCACGTGTTGCAAAAGTATGTCCAGCGGAGCAAAATGATCCTGTGGTATTATATTGCTCTGTGATTATAGAAATAGCAAGAACGGCTCAATGGATGAGGGGACGAGACGACTACCTCAAGCGGAAAAATGAGAAGAGCGGCCAAAAATCCTTCAAAAGCAGAAAAAAAATAAAAAAATAATAACAAGCCCAATACAGTATAATTCAGTAAAGTGCTTTAAAGTTGTTTATTGATGATTTGTAAAAGAGTGCCAGCGCTAAAAGTGTTTTCTATTAGCAACTGTTTTAAAAAGAAAATCGGTTTTGTCTCATCGAGTCGTCAATGAGAAATAAAACATTATTACAATCAAATTAATGCCTATTTACTAATTATCGCTGATAACAAGTTAATGCTTTTTCGAATTAAGTTAGTGGATGTACTTATTGATTTTTAATAACGCGGTTTTTAAAACAAGTTTGTGCAGATAAATTAATGCCTAGCTACATTATTACACTACTAATTTATTTTAATAAGATAAATAGTTATTTAGTTTAAAAAAAGTAACCATGGATAAGTTTTAAAAAACTTTCTTTGGCTGTGGGCAAAATAATAAATCCCAGGATCATTTTACCCCGGGATGCGGAACAAAATGGTAACGGAGTGCATAGAAAAACCTTATTTATTTATTTTTTCACTTTAGTACGTAAATAAATGCAATTTTTTCTTGTTAATAAAGGTATTTCTTTCAAATTATCATTATAAGTTTAAAATTGTAAATAAAATATAAAGGGACTTTTAACCCTAGAGGGATCATATTGGGTCCCTCTATATTCCTTATATGTAAATTATACAGTTACAATTAGATCTGTGAACAAGGCCATTAACACAAAGATGAAAACTGACCATTGTTGGTAGAGAGCCATTATTGGAGGCTGGACTATACTTTGTAATATAAATTAATGTTTACTAACGAGGTTAAATTTATTCATAGTTATATCAATTCTTTTGAATTTGCAAATAAATTACAATATTCTAAAGTAGTAAAATATAATATACTGTATAATAAATGAAATAAAGTAAAAAAATTAAATTATATTATTTAAAATAGTTATGGATAAATTATCACTATGTTAATATTGCAATACAGAGAGTTTGAAAACTTATGAAGTAAGTTGATATGTAATAAATTTCTGGAATAAATAAATATATATTTACAAATTTATTCCTGTTTTTATTTTTATTTTTATTCCTGTTTTTATTTTATTGATCATTAATTAGAAAATTAATGATCAATAAAATTGCACAAAACTAGCAATTTAATTAACAAACTCAATGTTTGCGTGTTATTTGTAAATCCCAAAGGATTATGAAACGAAAAGATTAAATTATATTAATTTTGTGTACAGTAGACTGAATTTTTATGAGTAAACATCACATAAAAATATTTAAATCGGAAATAAATGAGATATGTGAGTCATGGAGGCAAGATATATCTTTGGTTTCTTACTATTATTATATTTTTCTCCTTGTTATCAAGCTAGCTATTACATTCTAAAATTTACAAATAAATATAAAGACGAATGGATATTTTTTCATAAATGTTCTTTGTCTTCTAAAATCGAGTGTGCAGCTCTGTGCAACAATATGGAGGGATGTTCAGGTTTTGGTTTTTATTATAATAATATTGTAGATAACTGCGCTTTACTATCTAATTTTCTAGAAGATGAGTGCATAAATTGTCAGCAAATAGACGGTTTAAAAATTTATGAAGTAAGTTTGCTTATAAACATATATAAATTAAGAATTCTATTAAGAAAAAATAATGTTTTTGTAACGGAAATATAAAATATTAAAGTTTTTTTAGTAATTTAAAAATTTTCAAGAATAATACATATAATTTATTTGGTTTCTTCAATCTTAGTATATTTTATATCTTACTAAATGATGTTTAATATTATATTGAATGCTAATACTGTATTTCTTTTATGTATAAATCAAGCTTTATAATATTTACTTTTTTAATATTACAGATTAAAAGAGATAAAACAACTACAACAACTGCACCTACTACAATAACTACATCAACTACAGACGAAACAACTACACAGACAAGTATTATGTCTACCTAGTTACATATTTGTTTATATTTATTGTCATCTTTGATATTTTCCGTATTGGATTAAAATTTATAAAATGTCGTTCGTGTTATACTATTTTATTTTAATTTTAAAAATATCTTAAGTTATATTTATTTAATTTTATTGTTTAAATATATACTGAATTAATTAAAATATATTTAAATGTTTTGTTGTTTTTTTTATATATTTCAGCCAAACCAAGCACTACAACAAAAATTCCTACTTCTACTACAACTCTGACTTCTACAACAGTAATCACTTCTACATCACCTTCCACTACTGAAACAACTTCCTATACACCTTCCACCACAGAATTTCAAAGCACTACAACTACAACAGTTCAATCTACAACCAGTGAAAAACCAACTACTACAACCACTGAAATTCCAACAACTACAACCATCGAAAGTTCAACAACTACAACCACTGAAAGTCCAACAACAACAGTTCAATCTACAACCACTGAAAAACCAACTACTACAACTACTGAAATTCCAACAACTACAACTACTAAAATTCCAACAACTACAACTACTAAAATTCCAACAACTACAACTACTGAAATTCCAACAACTACAACTAGTTCAATCTACAACCACTGAAAAACCAACTACTACAACTACTGAAATTCCAACAACTACAACTACTAAAATTCCAACAACTACAACTACTAAAATTCCAACAACTACAACTACTGAAATTCCAACAACTACAACTGAAGTTCAAACTACAACTACTACAGTAACAAAACCTTCAACTACTATTTCTACCACTGAAATTCCAATTATCACTACTACATCTGAACTTCAAGAAATCACCACAACTACTAAACTTTCAACTGCTGTTACAACAACTGAAGTTGCAACAACTACAGCAAAACCTTCTACAGCTACTACTACTGAAACAACTACTACCACTACTTCTGTTACTACACCAACATCAACTATCACAGCTTCTGAAACAACAAGTATCAATGACACCACTACAGATAGTACAACATCCTCAAAAGTTGAAACCACCACTGAAGACTTTGGTCCATGTGGTCCTTTACTTATAAATTGTGGAGCATTAGATCAAAATGTTCCGATCACAATAGAAACAAAGTGAATTACTATGATATTTTAAAATCTAAATTTTCCTTCTTTTCTCATAAAATTTCATGATTATTTTTTAGAGGCGGGCCGTTTCTAAATCCCAGAACAACAGGAGGTTTATGTGCTACGAAACAGGTAAAATCAGAAAAAGAAATGACAACATTAGATATAGAAATTAATGGAGGTCTCGTTGCATGCGATAGAGGGAAAATTGTAACAGGTAATTATGAAGCAATTAGATAATAAAATAATATAAAAATTAAACTATTTAAACATTTAATTTTAAATATCAATTAAATATAGGCCTATATTTAAATTGTTAACAGCAATATTAGGAAAAACTTGTTTTCAGGTATAGAGCTTTGTGTAACAATTGATACAAAGAATAATATTATTCACGTATCTTCAGCTGAAATTGTATGTGGCACTCCAACTGATGGATGGAAAATTGATGCCGATGACACAATAGACAAAGATTTGGAAGGTAGTATGACATCACAATTTACAGTAGGGTGTGATCCTTCTTATCTGATATATGGAATTAGAGTTGGCAACAGTGATTTGGGAGCAGTGATGGACTTTAAATGTGTTAAGGCGGAAAAAGAAGAAGCTGCACCAGAAAACAATATTTAGATTTTCACACATAATTAAGAAATAAGCACAGCATTTTTTTGCAAGTTTTAAATTATTGCATAATTTAGCAGAAATATTTTTATTCGTATCAAAAATTTGCAATTGCATCCTTTGTGTGATTAAAAAATAAATAAAATTTTCTGTCATAATTACCGATAAAACTTTTATTGTTTATATCAATAAAAAAAAAATAGAATAGTAATTTGGACATTGTTGATTTTTATCTAATACAGTGATATGGATAAATTCTTAGCCCCTATCTAATAAATATATTGAAGAAAACTGTAGAAAAAATATTTAAAGCAGTATATTTTAAAATATTAGCGAAATATATATAAAAAAATACGGTATTTAGAGATGTACAAATTTCAAATTGAGAAGCTAGATTTCGACAATGAAAAAATTTATAGATATAATAGGTAAGTATTTTAAAAAGAAAGCATAAATTATAAGAAAGCGATTAAGTAATAAGTATATTTCTTTCTACGACACCATTTCAGTAACTAGAATACTAATTTTAAAATATAATTTATTTATTACACATTAAAAAATAGCTTACGTTTTGTAAGTTAAAGCAATGCTGACGGTTAAGAAAAACGAAATAAACGTATTTTCAGTAGCCTAGCCAGAAGAACAAGGATCTCTCTACCTCTGTAAAAAATATACGGAAAAATAAATACCGGAAAAAATCTGATTGACAAACACACTTATACACGTGTTTATAACTTACATCTAATTGTTTATGTGCATTCACAACGCTAGTAGCCACACACACAGTGGTACAGAAAATAATGTAGGTTTTCATGTCCTAATTCGAGGCCTCCAAATATCAGTTCTAGTTAAGCTACCGTATATTTTATAATAATTTATGTACTTAAAATAGGTTTAGAAATAGAGCGTATTGAAGAAACATAACATATTTATTAAATAGGAAAAATTAATTATTTTAATATCTAAAACAATGCTGTACAAAACGTTATTTTATTATATAAATTTTACTAAATAATAGAAATTAAACTCATTATTTTCTTCATAAATTTCTTTCACAACAAAAAATTAATTTACAACTCAGAATTAATTCATCAAAATTTTTTAAAATCATTTTCATTTTACAATATATGAATTTCTTTGATAACGTTTCAGTAAATTCTGAAAATTTATCAGCAATTTATAGAAACTTCAAACAGTGGGAGTTTCTAAGTGACAAGTAGCGAAGTAAGCAAATATGTAGCAAAGTCCGATTCATATGAAACGAACTTGCTTAGCTGCTTGTTAATTAAAGTATCCAGTGATAGAAACTACTTTTGATAAAATATAATTTAAAAGGTATTTAATTGGCACGGTGCTAAAAAGTTTTAGAATCATACAGGATAGTTCATTATAATAAAGAATTAAATACATTCTTTATAATTTTTGGTATTTTGAACATTTTAATGATAAATCAATGTTATTTTCATTGTCATTAATCATAATGCCCGTCAAAAGCATGTTATCAGGACAAAATATAGCATTTGAATCAATGTTTTCTCTTACTTTAACATACATCGATTCTTTATCAAAGACGAGATTTTCTTCAAATAGGGAACACTTAATTATTCCATTCTCAATTTTACCTTTTCCTTCTTCGTTCAAAAGACAGAAAAATAATTCTGAAATTATAACAATGGAAAAGGTTACTATTATACTATAGATAGATAATATAAATCTTTTTCATATAAATTACCTGAAATCGTTTGATTCGGTGGACAAATCATCATTACTCCCTTTTCAATTTCTTTAGAAAATACACTTTTCATTCCGTGCAGATCTGTTTTCTTGCAAACGGAATTAATAGTTGACGAGTTAAAATTATTTCTTGATCTATTAAATTTAAAATAAAACAAATGTATTAATGAGAATTTTATAGAAAATGTAAACTGCTCTAAACTTACATTGAGCGAATGCCAGTAAGAATTTCTGAGTGTTTACATGAAATGATACTTGGAGAACAATCTCTTTTACGTCTTTTTCCAAAAGCACTACCACTAGATAAAAGCTTATTAACGGAATTGGTAGTTTTAGTTACGGAATTAACATTATTACTGGCAGAATTAGTAATTACCCCAGCAGTTTTTACTGATTCATCAGCAGCACTTGTATCAGAGTTAGTAATTCCTCCAAAAGAATTAACTGCATCACTAGCAGTATTTGTTCCAGAATCGGTAATTATCCCACCAATATCATTCGCAGTGCCTGAAGATATTTTATTATCGACAACTTGTGTATTTTTATTATCCTCAATAACTTTATTAGCATCGTAATTTGCGATATTTGTAAGTTCATTAACATTTCCTTGTCTTCCAGAACTAATTATTTTATTATAATCTATATTTGAAATTTTGTTTGCATCTTGTTCATTGTTTAAAATGCCACCTTTAAAATCTCCAATCGCTGTGTCATATGATTTGTTATTGATATATTGATCCCAATTACCAACTGAAAAATTGTTTTTGCCTATATAAAAGTTAATTTATAAAAATTTTGTTAAATGTATATCACTTTTCAAACATTTATATCAAAATATATACTAATATATAAGAATTGCTTTAAATTTAATTATATGAAAAATAAAATATAGTACTTACTTTCCAAATTCCATTTGTCAATCTTTTCGTTATTATAAATAAAATTTTTAAAATATTTATTTAGAAACATGAAATATTTTACATTATTAAATAATGAAAATCATTTCACAATTTAGCTTAAAAGATAAACTCACCTCATAAATAATAATGTCACTTTTCTTACAATCAGTACATTTGTCAATCTTGGATAAAATAATACAGTTATCTCCATTAAATGATTCATCATAGAAGCCAAATCCTTCGCAACTTGTAGCCTGTAAGCATAGGCTAGCACATTGTATTTTTGAGTTTACTTTGCAGCTACTATCTTTCCACTCTTCATTCCACATATTTTGATATTTCAAATGATATAATTTTGAGTAAATAACATGAAAATTTAAAATAAGTGCAAAAGCTATCGATAAAATTGACGACTGCATTTTCTGAAATACACTTTATGTATTATAGTAGAGGGAAAAAATATTTTAAAAACCTTTGAAAGCATTGTTTTACACATAAACTAATTTGTTACTTGGCTACAAAAAATAAATGCATTTAATGCACTTAAAACTATCACGCAGATCGAAATGATATTTACTTTTCTCATGATAAAAACGTCTCGTATACGTTGTTAGTGGACATCTAATGCAAAAATAACAAATATATTTTACATTGTAATATTTTTTTGTTAATATAAAGAATAGAATATTGAACATTTTTTGAATAGAATATTGAACAAGAATATTGAACAATTTGTTATACATATGTATTATCTAAGATTTTATTAAACATTTTTTTCTNAGAATTTGGAAAAAAGCTTATGATTTTAAAATCTAAAGAACTGTTTGCCAGACAAATTATTGATGGAATACAATTAAAACGATTCCATATCAATATTAGTTTTATCTGGATTCCAGGACATTTGCAAAAAGGCAACAGTAGTCTCCAACTGATTAGTATAGCAGCCAATAACTGGGGGATCAGATATACTGCTATCAAATATATATATTTGGGTGCCATAGAGCCCATTATACTTTATGCTGCCCCTATCTGGGGAAAGGCCACCTGCAAGCAAGCAAATATCAAAAAATTTAACAAAATCCAGAGAATTGCAGCATTGCGAACTGCCAGAGCCTATCACACTGCGCCTACCTCGGCCCTTCTGATCATAAGCGGACTCTGCCCTCTATACCTTAAAATTAGAGCAGCTATGTGGTCTTGGAATCTAAAAAACACGATCAACCTCTCTAATTGGAAAGATAAAATTTAGCACAAAACCCTTCCAAACTTTCCTGACAAAATGTACCAAGACCTCATTACCAACGGTATCGAGAAGAAAATTCCAAACTCCTATATAGATATGACTCTTTCCATGAACATCCAGGAACTCACTTGCCATGATGAGAATGACCATGATTATAAAATCTACACGGACGGTTCCGAGCAAGAGGATCGAGTGGGCGCAGCTTTTATCGTGTACAACAAAGCAGGCAATATTACTCACCGGTCTGCTTTCAAGTTTGGTAAATACTGTTCCGTCCCACAGGCGGAGGTCTTCGCGATCACCAAGGCATTCCATCACATCAATGAAGACTGGTTCCCCCGTAAAAAGAAAATAGCCATCTATACAGATAGAATTACAGCTCTTCGCTCAATTTCCAACACCAACAACAATGGCTACAATGTTACCACCATTCAGAAAATGCTTATCAGTAATAACCACCACCATAACATCACCCTTAACTGGGTCCGTGGCCACTCTGGGGTGGAGGGAAACGAAGCAGCTGACGCTCTCGCCAAAAGAGCTGCGGTCTCGTTTCTTCCTTGTTCTTATAGTAAGATACCGCCTTTCACTATCCATAAATGGATCTATAACCAACTTTTGGAAACTTGGCAAGAAGACTGGAACAACTTCACTACAGGCAGTCCCACTCATGGCTTCATTCCAGACATCTCTGTCAGGCTGAGTTGCAGGCATCTTGTTCCTAACTTCGCCCTAACTCAAGTTCTCACTGACCACGGGAACTTCAACGCTTACCTCCACCGGTTCCGGCTCCGGGACAGCGAGATCTGCAGGTGCAACACGAACACTAAACGAGACTACCTTCACCTGTTGTTTGACTGTCCACTCTTTGACAGCAACAGAGATAGACTCATTGAGGCTGCACTTCGTAACAACCATAACTGGCCGTGTCCTCTACAAGCCCTAATATATGAGAAAGACATGTACAATCATCTGAACAATTACCTGCAGAGCATCAAAGTGCTTACAGAGAGGACGAGAAACATTTAGTCAGTGGCTGTTCCCTCGTAGTCATGCAAATCTACTGAACTACAATGTTAACACCACGCGTTAATAAAAATCACTGTCTATGCTTTTAGTGTAACCACCCAGGTAATGTCAACTGTATTATATACGTTTGTAACCTTTTAATTTGCTCGGGCTACCTGTATTCTGGCACCTAGCACCCACCCTCTATCTAGTTTACGCACTGTTAATCTGCATACTGTACTGTACTAGTACATACGTTTGTCATCTGTTTTTTATGTTTGTTCTATCTGCAATTTGCCAAATAGCACTCAACATGTAACTACTTTGTACCAATATTATTCTGCATACTGTTTTTACGTTTGTCGCCTATTAATACGTTTGTGCTATCTGTCGTTGTCACATAGCACTCCCCATGTAACTATTGCACTATTGTTAATCTGCATAATAAATAATTACATTCGTTTGTCATCTGTTATTATGTTTGTACTGTTCTACGATTTGTCAGACAGTTCTCAACATGTAATTTCTTGTAATATTATTAATCTGCACACTGTATTTACGTTATTACCTGTTCATATGTTAGTGCTGTTTGCGATCTGTAACGTGGCACTCCCAACCTGTATTCCTCTGTAACATTTTTGTTATCGTTATTGTTTTTCTGCTGATTATTCCTCATAAAACACCGTCACGGGACGCCCATGGATCCCAACTCTTTTCTTTTCATCCCCTTTCCTTTCTCACCCCACTCCATCTTTCCCCTTTTTCCATAACACAGGTCGTACCAAAGTGATACCTGTCTTACTACTACTATTACTACTATCTGGATTCCAGGTATGAAACTAAATGTAAACAAAAAAATTATCCAAATAAATAATCGTCTATGAAAAAAATTATAGCGGTGTTTCGTAGTTCGAATTTAATTCATTTTAGGAAGTCGCTCGAATTCAGAATCGTTCGAAGTTCAAAGTAATTTTTCCCATTAGAAATAACAGAAAGCCAATTAATCCATTCNCCCCCCAAAATTCGATACATCATAAGCGATCTAAATGCTTCAGGCATGGCTGTACATTGTGAATCAGTGACACGCTTTTGTTATTTATTTACGCATGCTCTTGAATCACTCTGAAGGCAATACCGTGCGTGACTATACTATTCACGGATTAATTGTAAACTCTCAAAAATGTAAATAAACATATTATATTACACGAAAGCAGCATTCGTATTGACTCGGTTACATACACTGCTGGCCATTAAAACTGCTATAGTGTACCAATTTTAATGGCCAGCAGTGTTTTAATGGTGTATGTGGTGGTTGATGCACCACTTGAGTGTTCGTTGATTTATAAGATAACCGAAGCTTTATATCTCACTATGAAAATTTATTTACAATAACTTATAAGATTTTGTTTTACACTTATTAAGTAAAGTTCGATCAGTGACAAGCATGCGTCAGTACAGAACATTCACTTGTCATGAGTAGTGTAGCCGAGAGAGAGAAAAAGAATATGGTGGACGGACTGCACATGTTTTAATAGCTCCATCTGAATTTTCAGATGAAGCGCTAGGTTACAATTATTCGGCCGCCACAGTGTAGCTGCTACGCCATGAAAGAGGCATGCAAGAAACGCAAAATTTGCATGAAAGTACAACATTCTGGGTGTTCTGTACTTTAAGATTACCTGTCAATTTAATTGTTTTTTCTCTTATACTACATGTGTACAATACATGTGCAATACATGTGTACAATACAAACATGATTCTGGTATTTGCTTCTCTTCCTGGTGAAGGAATTTTAGTGGCCAGCAGTGTATATTGCATCACATACTTTTCTAATATGTATAATTTATTGTACGTAAGATTTTAATTTGTTACACGTGTTCTGTGTATGAAAAACGTGTTTTTATGTGTATTGTGTTCACTGATTATCTGAACATCAACATACCAGACAACTGTAAATTATTGGCTACTTTTCAGAAGGTTACTTGACATTTCGGATTATTAGATACCGGATAAACGAACTTGTATTCTCTGCTAATTTAAACAGCTTTGTATATTCATAGTTATAATTGATTGGACTGGTAACAGAAAAAAGTTTGTGATCGTTACCAGCTCCCGACAATTATTGCCAGGCCTCAGTACCCGAAAAGAAAAACAATTGATAGTAATTACATAAATTATTATAGCAGCCAAACGATCTGTCGGATTATCTATCATCATATATTAAGGCTAATGATTAATTACTGTGTTTGGAAGTGTGAAAAAAGACACAAATTTACCCGAAAGACACGGACTGAAAATGGAGTACATCTCATGCTCCGGTAAACACAAATAAATTTGGTTAGATGTAGACGGTTAAATCGAAATCTGTTGATAAAACTTAATAATTAGAATTGAGAACGTTAGAATTAATTTTAAATTTACAATATTCTGGAAGAAAAGAATCGAATAGTAATAGAATTCGAATCCGTAAATTCTGCTTACCGTGCAGATACATTTGTGACGTTTGCCGACTGAGTGTGTTTGTCAGGATCGTCACGCGGTCACGACTATCGTGTGGGAATGGAAAAAACTCTCTGAGACATGGTTTCCATCTAAAAGATGGAAACCATGTCTCAGAGAGTTTTTTCCATTGTTTTGCAAAGTTTCGAAGTAAGACAGCTCGGGGAGCGAGTTAAAAGTCCAAAGTGTCCGACGTTCAGTAAGAAGTTCTTCCTTTTGTCCCTCGATGACGGACGTTGCGATCGACGGCACCGGAACGTGCGGCATACGTTCGGGCGAAAGTCTCGGGAGAAAACGTGAACCTCGGCGAATATGAATGAAACCGAAGGGAGAAAGTTATTTACATGTTGACGGAAACGTCCCGATGATCTCTCCGTAAAGCACCAATTTACAAGATAAATGAACTACGAACCAACAACGTTTACGTACTTGACTCGCNGTTGTAAGTGAAATTTGGGTTTTCAGTTAGGTTATGATGGGTTAAAATAAATGAGATTAGGGTTTGTTAGCTATAGCCGTCTAGTTAGGTTCGTCCTAACTTATGGTAGATTAGTTTAGTTAGTGAGTAAGTTAATGTTT